TGTAATTATTGCATACTCTTATTATCTTTATCATCTGTTTTTACAATAGGGCACAAAACAACCTACGCAAAGCAATCATATTTGCTTATAATAGCTTTTTACCTGTGCTAATACGTACTGGTTCCCAATCATAATTGTTTTATATGAGGTGTACAACACAAATCATGTCTAATTAATAGAATAGATTATATTATAACAATTTGAGTTTTGAAAATTTCTTTGAATATTGGCCAGGCACGGTGGCTCATGCCCGTAATCCCAGCCCTTTGGGAGGCCAACACGAGTAAATCACCTGAAGTCAGTTCAAGACCAGCCTAGCAAACATGGTGAAACCCCATATTTACTAAAAATACTCATACAAAAAAAATTAGCCAGGCCTGGTGGCAGGTGACTATAATCCCTGCTACCCAGGAGGCTGAGGGAGGAGAATTGCTTGTACCCAGGAGGCAGAGGTTGCAGTGAGCCGAGATCGCCCCACTGCACTCCAGCCTAGGCAACAGAGTGAGACTCCATATCAAAAAAAAAAAAAAAAGAAAAGATCTTTTAATATTACTCTAGGGATCTCTCTCAACATGGCCATCAGGCAGTTAAACACAGGAAAGCACAGTTTATAAAAGAGGTTGAAGTGAGAGATCCTAGTAAGTAAAGCTTTCAGATGTATGAAAGCAAAACAAAGTCTTTCAGATAGGAAGCCATTTACAAATTCCTAAGCACAGGTAGGAGTTTTCAGAAAATCTACAAAGACCAAGCCTAGGTCTTTACCAAGGCTCGGGTCGAAGATCAGAGCCCACCTTTATCTACCTACGTGGGTAGCTTTAAAGGGACTGTTCTGGGCCGTGTCCCAATGTGCTGAATATTCATTCCTGCTATTTGACCCAATCTCAATGCCTTCCTTTGAGTCTTATAATCCTTAGATCGCTCAGATTTAAAGCCACATATTCCAAAGGTAGGTTATACTTTCAGCTTTCATCGTAATGTCATTATAAGCAGCAACATATAAGTAAAAGGATAGAATATCTGCCCATCTTTTATTGAGAAATTGCATGATGTAGCATCTTGGTAAGCCTTTACATGCATTGGAGGAGAAACGTAAGGCATTTGGAAGTAAAACGTGAAGCCCTAAGGGGAGCAAAACATATAGAAGAAGATGGTGAAGAACCAATGTGTTTGTCCTTCGCAACCCAACTATGGGCTTCAGGAGATCAGGAATAGTAATGGCTTTGTCTGCCACTGCGTAACCAGCACCGCACATAGAAGCTGAAACATTAGAGGTTTTCTTTCTTTCTTTCCTTCTTTCTTTCTTTCTTTCTTTCTTTCTTTCTTTCTTTCTTTCTTTCTTTCTTTCTTTTTCTCTCTCTCTCTCTTTCCTTCCTTCCTTCCTTCCTTCTTTCTTTCTCTCTTTCCTTCCTTCTTTCTTTCTTCCTGTCTTTCTTTCTTTCTTTCCTTTTTTTTTTAGATGGAGTCTCACTCTGTCCCCAGGCTGGAGTGCAGTGGCATGATCATAGCTCACTACAGCCTCCAACTCCCTGGGTTCAAGTGATTCTCCTGCCTCAGCCTCCTGAGTAGCTGGAACTACAGGTACACACCACCACCACCAGCTAATTTTTTTTGCGTTTTTAGTAAGGACGGAGTTTCACTGTGTTGGCCAGGATGCTGTCATTCTCCTGACCTCAGGACCTTCCTGCCTTGGCCTCCCAAAGTGCTGGAATTACGTGTACATTAGAGGTATTCTAATGTTTGTTGAAAGAAAGACAGAAGGAAGCGAGGGAGGAAAGGAGGCAAACAGGGAAAAGGGAGAAAGGAGAGGGTGAGAGAAGGCGGCAAGAAGGGAAGAAGCGAGAAAAAGAGGGAGAAATTTGATTTTGAGCTGGGACCCTGAGAAAATGTCCCAAAGACAATGGCCAAGAGACTTCAGTCTGGAATGGAGAAAAAGTTCTGGAAATAGTGACATGATATTGTGAATTTACTTAATGCCACTGAATTGTACACTTGAGAAGACTTAAAATGACAACTTTTATGCTATGTATACATATGTATATTTTACCATGATAAAAAAATTTAAATTAGATTTAAGTTGTTATCATCACTAGAGTATAAATGTTCTCTGTCCTCAAATTTTCAATAAAGTGTTAGAAACACAAATGCCTTGTGTAAGTGGATCTTGTGAAAATCGTGGAAAGGAAGTATAAATATCTGAATCACGGTAGTCTGAACAGAAGCTGACCACAAAATAGGAAGAAAATTCATGAAATGAACTAATTCTTCTAAATTAGAAGCTCAGAGCCCAAGAAGATAAGAAAAAATTTAGGCATCTTCCCCCAACCTCTCTATTCTCAGTTTCCTTGGAGATGTTGGGAATATCCACGACTTCCACCTAACAGCAAAAGGAGATAAGAGAGCTATTTGTGTTTCAGTGTTAAATGACATGATGTCTCAGTTGATACTTGGGTTACATGCATATTATCTCCATTTACTCCTGAAAACAAAGGTGTGAGATGCTACCATGATCTCTTGTTCACACACAGATGAACTAACTGCGGCTTAGGAATGTCAGCAAACCTGCACCCAAGTGACAGAACCAGAAAAAGTTATGTTCCTTCCCTGCAGCTATGAGATGCTGGATACAAATTGCATTTCTAGGCTGTAAATGAAGAGAAAGAAATCATCACTGCCCTGTCTTTTAAAAGACAGTTCTCAAAAACAAACTTTGAAACTTTACAATTTATTATGTAATAAGGCAAAGAATGGAGAGAACTTCCAAAGTTCAAGTACAAATCGAATAGTTCTAATGGCAAAAAAGATGATTCCCCAAACAGAAATGAAGGCAAGAAAATAGCTTTGCAAGACAGCTACCACAGCCTTAAATGTTCACACTGTCACGATAAATAGCCCAAGCAAAAGCTTGTTCATATATATACAAAACCTGTGTTCTTATATATTAACATAGAAATCTTATCTGATAGAGCCAAGTAACCATCTAAATAAAAACATAAAGAAGGCATCTCTGTCCTTCTATTTTTTATTGACATCTGGAAAGCTGAAAGTTAAAAAAAAAATTGTAATCTGTCATCTTCTTAAAAAGTGGGAATTTTCCAAATCATATGTAAAATGACTAAAATAAACAACAAATGAGAATCATGTAAATAACAGCTTTGAAAGGGCAATGTAGAGTTCCCCTAATGATTTCTATTTGAAAATAAATCAGAGCATTCCCAAAAGCTGGAGGGCTTCTTTTAAAAAGAGAGGGCATGAAACTAATATAGACTAAAAAACCACATCTTGGTTTAATGAGATATACCATGAGCCATACATACTAACACTATCCAATTTAATCCTAAGAGAGTCGTCAATAGGAAAAATTTTAAACATTGCATCTATATGGAAATAATCTATACATTTTGCCTCTGAAAAACCATCAGAGAAATAAGAAATCTGTTTTGCACTGACAACACAGAGTGAGATCAAATTCTCCACAAGGCACCAGCATTTCTGTTATGGAAAAGGACACCCATTGTTGACGGCACGTGTATCTCATATGTCTCCATTTTCTGTAAAAATCATCTGCTTTTATTTCTCCTTGAACAACTCTAAAAAGAAAATTGAGATGTTTTCTCTGGACAGAACAGATGAGAAAGGCAAAAGCAAACCAGCTGGTAGCCAGTCTTCACTTTCTTTAAAACAAACAAAAAAAAAAAGGCAAAGGGACTTGGCATGTTGACCTCCACCTATCCAGATGGTTTGTTTTATTTAGTACACGAGTTCCAGAGGAGAGCAAGCAAGAAGTATGGCTAAGTGTTAATGTAAACCAATAGGGTTTCAAGCTTCTTTGTAAGAAGATTTACTAAAACACAGAGCTTTAGTTTTCTCAGAGCTCTGACTTGAACAATCAATTGGAATCCCCAATTGGGAGATTCTACCAATCTGCTGCCACGAGTGAGGAGAGTATGAAACTGGAGCCAGAACCACTCTTTTGATGTGATGAATTTCAGGGCCTGAAAAATGACTTCCCTTTCTTCCTCCTTCTCCTTCTATCCCAGTTGATCATGATGAGATCTTCTGCAAATGTTTCCACTGTGATCCTCTAAGTAAGACTGAGAACCTCTCAATGATCCCGTTGCCCCCTTCCCTGCACACCTCTCTGTAGTATCTGGTTTTCCGGGTAACTTTTCTTTTTCCTACATAAAAGTTATTCCATGTGCCCCTAGAAATTGGGGGAAATGTGGAAGACAAGATTCTCCTAGAAATCTCATAGCCCTGGCCTGCAATCCCAGCATTTTGGGAGGTGTAGGCAGCAAATCACTTGAGGTTAGGAGTTCAAGACCAGCCTGGCCAACATGGTGAAACACTAGCTCTACTAAAAATACAAAAATTAGCCGAGCATAGTGGTGAACATCTATAATCCCAGCTACTCCAGAGACTAAGGCAGGAAAGTCATTTGAACCCAGGAGGCAGAGGTTGCAGTGACGACAGAGCAAGAATCTGTCAAAAAGAAAAGAAAAGAAGAAAAAGAGAAGAAAGAAGAGAAGAGAAGAGAAATCTCATAGTCTTTACTTCACCACACAGCTGAAGACTCTCTCTGAACAAGTAAAATATAAGATATTCCTTTGCATGGTCACAGGGCATAGGACTAAGCCCATATTCAAGAAAAAAAAAAAATAGACCCTGATTAGCAAAGACTCTTGCAAACAAGGAACTCTGTTGAGGAAACCAAATATCACCTGTTCTCACTAATAAGTAGGAGCTAAACATTGAGTACACATGGACATAAAGATAAAAATGATAGGCACTGGCCACTGCAAGAGTGGAAACAGAGGAAGAGGGAAAATGACTGGAAAGCTACCAATCGGGAGCTATGTTCAGTACTTGACAAATGGGTTCAATCATACCCCAAACCTCAGCTTCACACAGTACACCCTTGTAGCAAACCTGCACGTGTACCCACCACCCAAATCTAAATTAAAAGTTGAAATTTTTTAAAAAGAACTCTGCTGAGACATACATTTGCAATGCCAACTAATGCAGGTTTATTGAGAAATACATGGCGAGACAAGCTCCCTTTTTGAGAGACACAAAAGCAGAGGCCAGGAGATACAGCAGCATGGTGAAAACATGTTAAAAGCATTAGAGACTGGGGCGTGGGTGGTAAAGCTTCTGGACACATCCAGAGGCATACACAGCACCAGTGAGCAACCCTTAAAACAAGCTCAGGGCTGGCCAGAAAACTTTTAGAGTGCCAAAGACAGCGTGTGCATGGCTAGTAGCCAGCAGTCAGGCAGTCAGAAGAGGAGTCAGCGATGAAGAGCTATTAGGGACAGGCAACATGCTGGAAGATCCTGGAAACAGCTGGGATCGTGGAGTCTTGATTCGCTCACTGGCTCCCACACACTCAGCAGGTTCTTCGGCAGCTGGACACGCAGGACTGCTGGTACGTCCTGGAGACCCCACAGGCTGGCTGGCAGACAGTAGAGACTCCACCTACTGGTTGGCAGACACTGGAGATGCCTCCCAGGGGCTGACATCCACTAGAGACAAAGGTGAGCGGCCGGCTGCAGGTGGTTGAACAGGGGTTGGAAACACAGGTAGTTTGCCGAGAGCAGGTCACCTGGCAAGGGTTGGAGACGCATGAAGTTCGCTGATAGCAGGTTGGCTGGCAAGCAGTGGGCCCGCAGCAGGTCTCCTGACAGTGGTCCAGGAGCCAAGAGCCAGTCTGGAAGGAACTGGGCAAATAGATGCCGCCCAGGCAGTCAGCATCAGTGCTGGAAGTCGTGGCAACTGGGGCCATTGGAGCAGCGCAGCGTCCTCCAATCGGCCTGGAAGAGCAATTTCTTGCGGAGCAGTTGAAGGACATGATGTCAGACAGAGGGCTGCAGGTAGCTTGCTGAAGTTACCTCCTGAGTTGTGAATGTCACTTCAGGCTCCCGAGCTTTTATATATCCTTGCTGGTAGGTGGGGCTCCCTCCCTGGTCTCCCTGGCTTCTTTGGCTCAGACTGGCTTGCCTTAGAACATCTTATGAATCTACACATTAATTGTCTCTTAAGAAGCCTTTACCCTCATAAAGAAATTTAGTAGTTTGGTAACTAAATCACAAGTCTTCTGTACTGTACTTAGTCTGATTAAGAAGGCTGGTTGGCAGCTTCAAAGTTATTGGTCATCCCAGCCCACACTTTGTCCCTCATTCATCTGGCTTATGATGAGTATTGATCTGACAGTAACCAAAGTTGCCACCATCCTACCATCACACACTCTCTCCCTCCATACCAGGACCAATTGCAAGCCCATGGCCTGTTCGGTTTGTCACTGGACTTAATATCCTTTAAACATAACTTAATCAGTCACTATACCATGCCTAACGGAGCTCCTCATTAGGAAGCTACCTCTTCAAATATGCTTCAAGATCACAAGGACAAATCTGCCAGGAAAAAGGACACAGAGACTTGTATCCAAAGTCTGAGCTGGCTCTCCAAATTAATCAGCTGACTCAAACAAGATGCCCGTGGGAAAGCTAGAGGGCAGTGGGACCCACCCTTTATGTTCAAGTGACAAAGCAAATTAGAAGCTAATTAAGTGCAACTGTATTTGTAGCCAAGACCTTTTCTAAATAAATTGGATAAGCTTTATTCCTAAAATGTTTAATTTAATAACAATGGATAATAGTGACTCCTGGGTCTCATTAATATGCCAGTGGGAAAGGCTTACTTAATTTTTTTAATTATCATAATATTAATTTGAAAGGGTACAGTGTCTTTCTCCCAATTTGCTCAATGTGTTCCAAAAATATTTATTTTCACACAAATACTTATAGATAGAATGCATTTTAATCATAGACAAACTAAAGACTCTTCAAGGTCACTGTCTCCGTCAGGAATAAGGGGGAGGCAGAGTGGGGGGAAGGAGGCACTTAATCAATGTTTGGTAATGAAGAGATGTGTGAAGTGTGTGTCATAATATTTAATTATTCTTTTTATGCTTGGGGAAGCTATAAGGGCATCATTCTCTTTTATTTCATCTCACTGAGATATAATGAATTTTGAACACCAGAATGATGGCTCATTTGGTCCACCTGAACACGGATGAATAAACTGCCTGACTCTGGCAAAATAAGCAACTTCAACATCACTTCAAGTGGTCAATGCTATTTCTGTCCCAAAACAGCTGTAAGATCTGACTCATTTTTAAACTAGCTTATATGGGGCAATCCAAGGGGATAAAATGGATTTCCATATATTTGAGGGCTACAGGTAATAAGCTATGTTTTAAATGTCCACAAAACAAACAGTGTTATGTCAGGACTCATCAGAAATCCGCTTGCAAAAGTTTCATTCATCTAATTGGAAGCTAAAGACACACCCAAACAAGATGGTGCTGTGCTGTGAGCAATAGCATGATTCCCAGATACCAGACCTCAATGTCCAGACCCTCCCTCAGTGACTCACCATGTGTTCCCAGGAACCAGGCAAAATTAATGAGATGACTACTTTCCCAAATGCTGTGGCTACGCTCTTCCCACCAAAGAGAGTATCTCAGTTGGTGTTTGAAGGCCTGAGTCCTTGGTCCTAGGGCCTGGCTTGCATGTTTTAAAATGGATTAGTAGTTTACAGGCTTCTCCCAGTCATAGGTTACAGGCTACTGTGGAAGAGTACTTCTTTGCGGGAATACCCAAAACGTGGTCAGTAGTAGAATTACAAAGGAGAACGTCTCAGTACCCATTGCCACATTCCTGGAATGGCAGAGAATTTTAACAGTTATTACTTTGCCTTGATTCCTCTTTCTCATTGAAAGCGGGAAATTACCGATAAAAGGATCCTGGCAAATATCTTCCATTGCTTCAGGAAAAAAAAAAAAAAAAAAAAACATGAGTGTCTTTTAAGCACTCCACTTTCTTCCAGACATTGAGTTAAAGGTTTGCACAACTCATCTCACTGAGTTCTTACAGCAACTCTACAGAGTAGGTATCACGTCACGTGCTGGAGCTGAAGTTCAGGGACGTTGGGTGGCTCGCCAACGTCATGGAGTTTATATTTGACTAAGTTGAGATTCCACTAAAACAGAGTCTCTGAGCTACCAACTCATACCGAGGATACTTAAACGTGATGAGGTGCCTTCCTTAAAGTATGAACAAGAATGTGTTATTTTTAATCAATCAATCAATACTTCATTGAAGACATTATAAGAAATATAATCATTTATCTTTTAACAATTAACAACGGAAATAAATAAAATAGTAAGTCACAAGCACTGCTGTCCTACTTCATACGTTTTCTTCATTCTGTATCCAATTTAACAATTTTTAATCCTTGCAATAAGATGCAAGGTCACTACAAACAAAGCAAAAAAAGAATAAAGAAACATTAATAGCTTAAAGTTATAGTTTGAAGTTATAATTATGTATAATAGCTGTGCATACAGTTAATTTTCAGAGCATAGCAGATAAGTGAATTGATTTTTCAGACTCATCCATTTTCCAGAGTCTGCCGTTTTTCAGGTGCTAAATAGAGGGAAAATGTTGAGTAGATCCCTTAGATTAATTACTCAAAGAAACTTTGGCTTACATTAGGTCATTTCTGAAGTCTTATATTAAGTGATTTCAGAGTTTGTGAATAACATTTCTCAGAAAGGTCTTGCCAACTAGACTTGAAAAATAGATACACTTCTCTGCTGTTCTCTGAAAATACACCATCCAGCACAGAGGTAGACAAGCTACTTAATATTCTCATGTATTCTATTGTTACATGCAAGCACTTCCACTCTTTTTCTGCATTCACTGTAAGTTGCAAAAGTGTAGAAACATGTACTGACAGTCACATAAGCTTGATGAAACTACACAATTTTAATTTGACAATGGTGTTCAATGAAGTTAATAAGTCATCCTTTCCTTAAAATGTAAGAAAAAATTACACGGCCAATTGCTATCACCATGTAGTTAGTCACAACATGAAACTTCAACTCAGCAAAAATTCTTATAATGATTATTATTCTCATGTCTGCAGAGCATGAAATGAGGGCAGGGGTGGGTAATGGGAGCAGATGAGGAGAGATCAAGGAACTACTACCCATTATCTTCATCACTGATGGATAATTTGCTCTCGTTTGTATAGAACAGTCTAAGCCTTATACAATAATTATCACAGACTGGAAATGAGCAATTCTTTCCCTCAAAACTGAATCACAGCAATCACTTACAACGCCAAGCATTTGAGAGTAAGATGAACTAAGTATGTGAGGGAGACTGGAGGTTTGATATGCAGAAAGGATTTTTTTCATCACAAAATTGATAATAATGTTGACCACACCAGTTCAAAGAAAACCACTTAGCCTCATCGAACGGAGGAATAGTGAACTTGTTCAAAAATTAATGCATATGAAATGAAATGACAGCAGAAATGCTGTCATTCTGCACTTTTTCAGGGTGATCACCCTCTCAAATCTGAAGCTATTCATTGTCTCTTAAGAAATATAAAAAGGAAATTCAGAAGCTTAAGTGTAGACCTTAATGGTTGTCTTAAAAATTAAATACACCTTGGCTGAGTTGTGCTGCTTTCTTTCCAACTTCACACAGATCTCTGGGTTGAATCTCCAGAATCTTTATTAACCAAGACATTATAAACCCCTGGAGGCTGGGTGATTTGCACCACAAAACTGAACTGAAATTCATTTTCCAAACTCTTTTCAAAAAAACATCAGTCATAAGAAGGGTTGAATAATTTGGGCTGGAAGGAACTCTAGGGCAGAAAGCAGAAGGTGAAAGAAACAAGCGAAGACCGGTTGCTGCTTTTAGAACCTGAAAATAGCAGTCACCGGCTACATGACTTGTGTAAAAAGAAACCTTCCGAGGACAGTGTCAAGGTTGAAAAATTCTAAACGGAACCATTCTCTGTCTTGATACCTGTTTTCAGATTCATGTGTTTTTTCATGTGTGTCTTCATTGGAGATCAAAATCAGGGTGCTGTCAAGAAAGGTGAGTAGCATCCCAAGTATTTTTCAGCACAACAAACGCCCCTGTCGCAAAGCCCATGTGTAGTTGGCATGGGCTCCAGTCCTGGCCTTCCAAGTAAACAGAGGTAGACCCATTAGTAACAAGGTATGAGTAGTTTTTACGTATAGGGCCTAAGAGAGGGCACCAAGTCACCTAAGATGTATCATCCTTCCCCGATCCAGAACTATGCAGGGCCTATTAGGTACTCTGTGGGGTAAGGATACTGGAATCTATGTGGGAGACAGGCAAAGTAGATATGTCTTTTCTTAACATCGTTTAATTGACCTGTGCTTATACCCTTTCAAAATAGTCCTTCTTGGTCTGATCTGCCTTTCTGGGGGACTAAAAGTGTAACATTAGGCCAGCACTATCTCAGGTTGGTAATTAGGCTTCCAACGCTGGCTTTTAAATTCCTCTCGTATAATTCTCTTATCTGATTCATGAGAAACCGAGTCCCAAACAGGGTGCATCTTTGCCATGCACATCAAACATTGTTGTGCACTACTTTGAAACTGTCTCACTTCATTTCTTACTGTCGCCTCTTTGCACATGCTTAAGCCAGTTTCGTGATGGTACAATCCCAAAGTGCTTCCTTTACTTAGAGGCAGCTCACATGCTCCTTGCTTCCTGCTAGGTCTTACCTGATGCCATGGTGAGGAAAGTCCATGTTAATTTTCTCTGCAGTCACATAGGTACCACCCAGAAGTGGGGTCAGGTGTAGGCAGCAGAGAATGCAAACCAAAGGATGAATACTCCCCACTTTTGTCCTCCAGGTAGATAATACTTGATATGGTTTTGTCATGTCCCCACCCAAATCTCATCTCATCTGGTTGTGGGAGACAGCCAGTAGGAGATAATTGAATCATGGGGGCGGTTTCCCCCTTACTGTCCTTGTGGTAGTTAATTATTCTCACAAGATCTGA